TTGTTACAGCTAGGGTTCAATAAGGGGTTACAGCACATTAATGCACATTGTGTCTTTTGCCACTGGCTACCAACCTATTATTTACACTGACCCTCCCCTCTCCAGACCAATAATTAAGACAGTATGCATTGTTATTTTAAGGTCACCATAAAACATAAATAATTCCCAGATGGCAAGCAAGATTTTAACTCGAATTTTCCCAAKACACAATACCCTACGCCTATCTCCAAACAGGAATGCTCTTCCAAGACTTTTACAAGCTCGAAACTTCCAGCTCACRACAGAAAGTGGAGGTGTTCCAACAAGGCCAGAAAAAATGAGATTTGGCCTCCTTAAAGTCATTGTAGTGCTATTCCCATTTATATATTTTGGAGCTGTAATGTCAAGAGAAGGTGCGGCATGGTTGGAGGAGAATGAMATTTTTTCACCCGAAGATGATGACTAATTTATTGACTCTATTTCAATTTAATTTGAAGTTTTCACAAAATATTCAATAACTTATTAATGTTAATTAATTAATCAATTACTCATTAATTTGATTAAGAAAATAAATTCAAGAATTGCTGGACGTTTTGATGACATCCTCATTAATGAACTGTGATGATCATAAAAAAAAGACATTCATAGGATACCGSAAGCTATGTGTTCTGGTTGCAATTGTTTTAAAGATTGAAAAACACAGTTCCACTCAATAAGAATTACATACTCTACTTTAAACTTGAACCAATTTAAACCATTATCATTAGCCCAAAGTTTATTTCAGGGTTCAATCTGTGAGTTAGCAGTGCCCTGACTTAGATCAGCCCAGAGGTTGTTTTAGGAATGGACCTGCGAGTTAGCCATGCCCTGACTTAGATCAGCCCAGAGGTTGTTTCGGTGTTCAATCTGTGAGTTAGCCGAGCCCTGACTTAGATCAGCCCAGAGGTTGTYTCRGKGTTCTATCTGTGAGTTAGCCATGCCCCAACTTAGATCAGCCCAGAGGTTGTCTCAGTGTTCTATCTGTGAATTAGCCATGCCCTGACTTTGATCAGCCCAGAGGTTGTTTCAGGGTTCGATCTGTGAGTTAGCCATGCCCTGACTGAGATCAGCCCAGAGGTTGTTTCAGGGTTTGATCTGTGAGTTAGCCATGCCCTTGCTTAGATCAGCCCAGAGGTTGTTTCAGGGTTCTATCTGTGAGTTAGCCATGCCTTGACTTAGATCAGCCCAGAGGTTGTTTCAGGGTTTGATCTGTGAGTTAGCCATGCCCTGACTTAGATCAGCCCAGAGTTTGTTTCAGGGTTCTATCTGTGAGTTAGCCATGCCCTGACTTAGATCAGCCCAGAGGTTGTTTCAGGGTTTAATCTGTGAGTTAGCCATGCCCTGACTTTGATCAGCCCAGAGGTTGTTTCGGGGTTCTATCTGTGAGTTAGCCATGCCCCAACTTGGATCAGCCCAGAGGTTGTCTCGGTGTTCTATCTGTGAGTTAGCCATGCCCTGACTTTGATCAGCCCAGAGGTTGTTTCAGGGTTTGATCTGTGAGTTAGCCATGCCTTGACTTAGATCAGCCCAGAGGTTGTCTCAGTGTTCTATCTGTGAGTTAGCCACGCCCTGACTTTGATCAGCCCAGAGGTTGTTTCAGGGTTCAATCTGTGAGTTAGCCATACCCTGACTGAGATCAGCTCAGATCAGAGGTTTCAGAATTTAATCATTTTCAAGGATTCCACAACATTAGCTTCAGGACTATTAAACTTGAGTCTACTTATCAACTGCACAAGTGTGAAAGCATGCATCTTCCAGTAAATTGTATAAATTATTTATGATAAAATGTGYGTAAATTGTTCTTAGTAATCACATTAAATTGAC